CCTTTAAAAAAAAATTGAATATTACATTGACTATATGCCTACACAGAGGCGACTCTTCATTCAGATACTCTGTTCCATTCAACTGAGGTGCTTACGCCACACTTGAATGGAACAGATTATCTGAATGCAGCAAATTTAATCAGTAACTCGCTAGGCGTTTGAAGAGTTGTCATGTGTTGTGTTGATTAAAAAAATATTGATATAAATATGCCCTCGTACGTACTTAGATATTGCACAAATAATTCAAGAAATGTCAGTAAAAACCGAGGAATTACTTTTCATCGGTTAATAAGATACTTAATCAATAAAAAGTATTATAGACTAATAATAAAAAAATGAGAGAAAAACAAGTTATTCTTAAGACGTCATCTCGTGTCATGGAATATAGATTACGAAATTAGTTTGTTCACATGCGACACTTCTGTGGGTACTTAAAGTATAGGACGAATATATTATTTTTATACGCATTTTTTTGTAGAAACATATATAAGTTATCTGCTCATTATTATTTTATTTTATTTTTAGGTTTCCACATAAAAGTCAAAGTGGAATAAATTCGTCCATTTTTAACTCTCGCGTGTCCAGGATTTATGAACTACTCTTATTTTAATTTAAATTAATATATGTGTAATTTAAATGTTACATTAATAAGTTTTGTTAAACATACATTTAGTATGTTTTTTATGTTCGTCATGAACTTTTAAAATATTCAGATAAAATATCATTAAAATGTATTTGTGATATAATATTATGTTAAACTCTATATAATTTACCATTTATCTATTATTACCTACTGATCATTCTACCTATGTTTATTCTATGATAAAAAACCAACCGCGCGAACACAGAGTAGCGCACATTTTTAGTTTCAAATAGCTGTTCTAGTATGTAAGTATATATTACTTCAATGGAATATTAAATATTAATATATAATACAATGACATAAAAACTGCGCCAATATAATATAATCATTGTTTCATTCACAACTACCACGTTCAAAATCACTTAAATTTACGAAAAAAAAAACAAGAGAACAAAACAGATTTTTGCTAAGCTACATAAATATTAGACCTAAACAGCTACACGCACTTATATAAATTTATTCTCGATAAAGAATCAAAATGCAGATGCATTATCTATAGCGTGTACTCTTTTGTGTTATTTTACAATAGAGTTGCATCATACCTATTCAAAGTAATATAATAAAACCAATGTCATAGTTCAATACTATATACTTACTTATCCACACAACATGTAAATAAAATTGAAGTGTTTTAGTCTAAATATATATATAAAAAAATATATATATATATATATATATATTGGACTAAAACACTTCATTTCATTTATTTACTCAATTCATTTCATTAATTAAAAAACCTTTCTTAGCTAACAATTTATGTTCCGTTGTTGTATCCCGTATAAATCAATAGATGTAATGTAGTAAACTAAATAATTTTTCCCGTGCTGTTTTATGGTTATAACAAAAATTATCCGCACTTTCGATCTTTCAGCAACATTACGCTGAGCCATGTTTTAGGATTCCGTAGTTAAACAAGAAGTAACCCTTATAGTTTCGCTATGTCCGTCCATCCACGGTTTGACTCAGAGATCTTAGGTGCTAAGAAGCTGTTATTAGGCATAAGTATAGATATTAATCACCCCTACAAAGTTGTGATGTGATAATATCTTGAAAAACAGTTTTATTTTTAGTACCTCCTAGGACAGGTGCTTTTGTTGTTACCCGTCTATTCCGTCGTGTGGAGTGTGGAACATCACTTTTTGATTCACGGGTCCCTTTGCAAAATATTTAGCTCTAAATTGGTATTTTTTTATTCGAGTTATACGTTCGTCTACAACTGAACCGCCGATTTTGGAAATGTGAATATTATGTACGATAGAAGTCCATATAAAGAAGTTAGATTGAAAACTATTGCAGCTAAGAAGGCTTTACAAGTTAACGAGTAAATGTAGAGTAACTTATAAAATGCACTTGGATTAGTAAAAATTTCGTTACAATTCTATAGAAAATGATTTAAAAGTAGCTGCACTATAACTTTACTTAGTAAAGTTATTGTAAATTGTAAAAAGTAAACATTATACCCCTTTAGCATAATACCTTTAAGTTATCGACTGATACCACAGTTTCATTCTTGGTACTCTTGGTTTACGCGGGCGAACCTCTGGAGAGTTTAGGGCATTGGTAATTTTCGTTACGGTCATGTATATCTTAGGGTTGAACTGCAGGGTGCTAAAATATGGATAGGGAACTATGAACATTTTTATACGCACTTTGCATGTGAGTGATTTGATGTAGATTGTATTATTATCAATATCGGAAAGTTTTTATTTTTGACACAACTCCCTATAAGTCTGCTTGGAAAATATGTAAGTTTTTTAGTTAGCACCGTCTTATTGCTGTAATGACTAAGCAATAAAACCGCGTACGCAATATATATATATAATATATATAAACACCACCCCCAGGAAGAAAAAATAC